CACCCCACCACACACACACACCCCCCGCATGTTAATTCAGGTCTGAAACTTCCTTAGATTGTAGCTGTGAAAAATGACATGTACTGGGTGGGTGAGCAACTATCCCTTTCCAAATACAGTCCTGCAGCACTTGCTCATGTAAGGCATCCCACTGAAGTCACTGGGACATCTCCTGGGGGATACAGACCCCCCAGGTGAGTAAGCACTGCAGACTCGAATTCATCACCTTTTGTAATCAATACAAAGTTATCAAAGCAATGAAATAAGAACTGGTGCATCTTTAAGAAGAAAGCAGAGCACACGAAGTCTTACGTGTTTGGCCAGTGTGTTCTGTTCCTTTTTAAGTCGGGTTGTCGAACTTTTTGAACTCTGCTTCTGAAATTTTGAATACTGCCACACAAGAACTAAAAATCTTCACTGTCATCTCTCAAAGAGTTTAAACAAACAATATTAAAATACCATCTTCTGTCACATTTAAAGGCAGTTGGATATGTTTTTTTTCCTCTATATTTGTATATACAGAGTTCTGATCTAGAAAAACCAATACAATAAACCTTTTTTTTATGTTTAAAAACAGGCAGTCTTTGGTGACGCAAAGGCAGAGATTTTTTTTGTTACCTCCTGCCTATTTCACTCTGTCTCATGAAGTGAATGTTGTTGGCACTGTCAGAAAGTTCAAGATACTGCTCCACAGATAAAACAAAATATCCATCATAGCCTTGTACCCTCCCAGTGCTTAAAAGCTGCTGTTTCTCTCCCTCTGTCCATGATCTAATGCCTTCTTCCCCTTCTTGCAGCCGTCTCTGTTCCTTAGTCCAGGCTTGCGCTACGGCCCTCTGCCTGGCTATTTCTAAGACATGGTTCTTCTCCTCTTCTATGGTCGTTCCATACCGAACATTAAAGCACAATGCGCCGTGCTGGAGTTGTATATCGGCAAACCGTCTAGTCCTGCCATTGATGACGGAAGTCATCTGGGACACAGTGACATTAACACCATTTTCCAAAATGCGCCGTCCCCCAGTGTTGCCTATCAGAGCCAAGTCTTCTTCCAAAGACCCCAGCTTGATGAAGTAGTGTGTATCGCGGCCATCTATGGTAAAATGGAGGTTCTCCAGATAGTGAGCATTGTTGAGGATGGCAGCAATGCGCCGACTATCCTCATTTGCTACTCCTATAATGTCAGCAGTCACTATTCCATCCTTAATAGCAAATTTGATGCCTTTGCCAAAAACTGAAGGAATGGCTGCAAACCTGGGCTGTTTTCCTCCTTCAAGACACCTCCCGTCACTGTACCTGGGGGTCATAGGAAGTTGGTCCAAAGAGATAAAGTTTCTTAGTTGTTTTTGTAGCTCGCATTGAATGCCAAGGATAGTCTGGAAGAGAAAACAGCATCAATGTTTGAGGTAAAGATTTTATACACAATTCATAATTGGCCCCTATGACAAACACTTTCTCTCTGATCTCAATAGATCGTTAGCTTCTCAGAGCTTGAACTGACCATCTACATTTGTCTATAAAATACTGCGCACATCTGTAGAGTTACAGAGATAAAAAATACATAGTTTCTTTAGTGACAGTCTAGGTCTACTGCTTCCCGTCTTTTCCATTTCCAATCATCACATTTGGAAATATAATTATCGGATCTCGTGTCTTTCTGTTGCTTTAAAAAACTGGAGTAAGTTGGTGAAAACTCTTTATCATCTCCCAGAAACTGCTATTCTAGTCTGTCTCCCTGAGAAGAGGGTTTCCTCCTCAGACTTCCTCTGGAATTTGGGAGACCCAAATTTAAAATGATGCTACAACCTTGAGCATCAGTTACTTTATTTGTGTCTCAGTTCTCCTTACATGAAGTGGGACTAATGTTCTTAGTCCTGTCCTTAAAAGGGAAGTACATTAAGGGTTGTAGAATGTCCAGACACTAAAAGGAAAGGAGAAACTAGCTAAGATCAGGAGACAGATTCATTGCTTCATCCCTATTCAGGAAAAAAACTCTTACTTAAATCCATTCTTTGGTGTCATAGACACCATATAGACATTCTCAGTGTTACACTCGTTATGTACCTCTATCAGGCCTGTGCAAAGTGACTAGTATTTGCTTCGGGTCCAGATTTGGACGATTCAGTGATTCAAATCACTGTACTGAAATGATTTGGCTGAATCTGATTTGGAGATTTGTTCGCTGCCAAATCGGCCAAATGTCTGAATCAAACAGGCCCGCTCTCCCAGCCCGCTCCCCCCGCCCCCCACCCATGGCTGCCTTGCACATTCCACCTCCTTGCCCTTAAAAAAAAAAAAAAAAAAAAAAAAAAAGCCCCACACTCATCAGCTGCTGCCAGGGGGGTGGGCATCCCCGCTGCCTCCCACTGACCTGTGGTGCATCAGGGCTCTGCCACGAGCCCCCAGAGGTCCTGATGGCTGCTGCAGCAGCCAGTGAATGCAGGGC